AAAGTGTGAAAGAAGTCATATTTTCACAGATAAAAGTGTGTGTGTGTGTATGTATGTATGTATGTTTGGAGCAGACTGAGCAGTCATGTTCCCCACGGCCCCCTCGGCCACAACGTCCCCCTCCCCCCCATCCCTCCAAACTACAAAGCAGCACACGACCTGTGAGTACAGCACTCTCATCCCTGTCCTCTGACCTGTCACCCTGAGCTCAAATATTCCCTTCTGCCCTGCCTGGTGCACTGGAGTGTGTTATATTTGTGTGTTCTGACTGGATACTGTTTGTGTGCATGTATGTGTGTGTATTTACATGCCTGTGTGATATAACATCAATTATTTTTCTACAGAATAATGCTCAGTCACACTTGAATGAGTTTGTCATGTGTTTGCACTTACTTTTCTACCACACAAACTTTTTTCCTTCGGTTTAAAGGGTGCTTTATTCTGTCTGCCACTCTTCAGGTGTTGGATACCGCATTTCTGTTTACATTTGATAGGATCTTGACCTCTGATCCTTGCTGTCTAAAAGGAGCAATTGACTTCTGACTTAACAGTGACTGCAGTGACATCTACAAGGATTTAACAAATCCAGAACTTTTTAAGACATTGGTATACTGTTTAAAAAACCTGTGTTTGCGTGTGTTTGCAGGCTCGACCTCCTCGGCCTCTGGTGCCAAAGAGACCACGAAGTAACATTGGCATCGAAGGAAGCCCTGAACAGTAAGACTCAAACATTTAACCTTTCTCACATGCAGTTGCAAAACACAAACAAATAGACAATGGTCTTTGTGTTTCTATCTAGGGAGCATTTTACTTCGCATTCACGGCATTGGTCAGATTGAATTGTTCAATGTCAGCTAAACTTTATATTTGTCCATTCAGAAGAATTGTGAGCAGGTAGATACACAAAGATCTGGATGAGTGAACTTAAAATAGAAGATGACATGGCAATTTATAGCTATGCATGTTGACTAAATTGTTTAGGAAAAAGTAACTTGTTTTGCAGATTGGTAATATATAAAGGTAATACTGTATTATTGTATCAGTGTTTCTCTTGTTGTTAGGCAGATTGTTTACATTTGTAATGAACTGTTTCGCAGAATACTTAAGCCAATCTTAAATAAAGATAATGAAAGCAATCGAACTAAAATCTTTTTCCTTTATTTATTAGATTAATATCAATGTAATAAGTGGGATAATGTAGAGCCAGCAGATCATTATTGCAAAATAAACTCCTTCGGTTTGATACAAGATGCCTCTACTTTGCATCCGGTTGCTGTTCTTGTTTTATTTTGCTATAGTGGCTGAGACCAAATTTTTTTTCTTTTTATTATTTGTATACTGTTATAGATTTTTTAATTAATAATTTGATTTAGCTTTTTTTAAGTTTTCAGGTTTTCATTTTAGTTTAATGTTTACTGATTTTATTTACTTTTGCCATTTAAAAAAAAAAACTTAAAATAAAATTCTAAATATTTTCAGTGTATTTTAAAGTTTCAGTTTTATTTCAGCTAGTAATTTTAGTACTTAAACCTACTTAAACTAACCAAAACTTTTTTTAGTTTCAATATTTATATTTTATTTCAGTTAAAAATTATGTTTTTAGGCTATACATTATCCCTCAAATATCTATCACATACAAATCAGCACAGTAAAAATGTTGTGGTCTTGATTGTGTGATTGCATGTCTCACTTACTCTTTCTTTTTCTCCTTCACTCTTGTGCTTTCTCTTTCACACTGGGATGGTCGTTTTTGTCATTTGTGTTTGTGTGTGGTTACACCTGATACTTGGCTCTCTTTGTCTCTGCCAATTTGTTTATGCTTTCTTTTTTTGTTGCTGCTGTGCATCTCTGTTGACGCTGTAGTTACGTGCGTCCAACCCGTCACTATACAGTGTTTCTGTGTGAGGATTCTTCGGGTGATGAGCTGTCTCAGGATGACGACTCCATTGCTGCTTTTCCTGAACACTTCCTGCTTTCTGCTCCTTTTGAATGGTCTCTGTTCAAGTGGTTTTCATCCTTGATTTCTTTAATGTCCATTAGTCTTAAAGTGAATATTTGATGGCTTTTTTACATACTTAAATATAAAAAGCATTTGGACACACTAAAAATGTAAAGATGTCACTGCATTAGGTTACAAAATATCAAACCAAGTGTTACTATTAAATATACTGATACTGTCCAAAACACATTCTAGTTGTGGAACTTACCTATAGTACTGTACAGTAGAACCAATTTGTCAGCATAAATTGTATCAACATAGAGATACCCCAGGGCTTGGTGCTTGGCCCCCAATCTTCTCCCAGTGTTCCTCTAGCTGACCTTCATGCATAGGCATGTAATACAGAATGGGCCAGCATGTTTAGTCTCCATTGACAAAGTACTTAAACTAAAAAACATTTCATATCTGAGCATGCCATACAGCTTCTTGTCCAAACTCTTGTCATCTCTAGATTTCTCATGTATGCACTATTAAAGTTCTGCATATAATCAAGAATACAGCAAAGTGTTTAGTTCTGGATCAAGCCCAGAGGGCAATATGTTATCTAATGCAATGACAACCTAATTTTCAAGTGTCTCAAGTGTCTTTTTGGGGCCGCTTTACGCCATAGTATTTAGTTAAGCTGTGGCCTGCTAGATTTGTTTTTGATGTTGGCTTAAATCAGTTTTATTGCATGGCTAGATTTAATGAATGTGATGTCTTAGCCTGAGGCATGCAACCGCTTATTTATGTAAAGTGATTTTGATTGTTTTATTGATCAAATCTGCCCATTTCAACAGCTCTTCATCTAACATGAAAATTATAATTGTGTGTCTGTACTTGTTTGTGCATGTGTTGTGCGTCCGTGTGCTTGTTTGTGTGTATTTGTGGCGTGGATGCGCGCGAATGTGTTTTTGTTTGCATATGTGACTTAGGCCCCAGCCATACAGGTCTCTGAAAGAGGCACAGCTTGTGGAAGAAGGTGAGGAGGTTGAGGAGCGCTTCCAAGGTAACACTGCTCCGTCCAGCCCTGTGCTAGACAAGTTCTCTGACCTGAGCCTGTTGCAGGATGCCTTCCGTAGTCAGCAGGGGGAGCAAGAATGTACAGAAACCACAAATACCACAAAACCATCTCACAGCACACACTCTACACTCAGTTCCGCCAGAAGTTTGGAGGAGCTTCGAGCAGACCCTCAACATGCCAACTTCAACTACCAGGTTAGATCATGGTCATGGTCACTTAATGTATTTTCTCTGATCAGATAGCTATCTGATTTATTAAAGCGGTTCCATTTACACTTGGCCACATAAATGTGTCTCTGCAAAATATGTGTTCCATAAATGTGTTCCTGCACTATATGCAAATTTAACGGATTTCACATCAACAAAAGCAACAGATATGCGCTGTTGCATTAGCGCAGTCATATGTGAATATAACATGCCATATTACCTATAAAACGCTCTCACACGTTACTATTATTTTAATATTTTGGGAGGAGTAAAATTTGCATGTGGTTTCAACAACCAGATGCATTTACACTTTTTGTCCAGTTTCATCTGGAATGCAGCCCAGACCACCTCCTGAAGTGATTTGAGCGATCAGATTTAAATCCGTCTTGAAAGTGTTTCAGAGGGCATTTACACCTGGTCTTTTCACAATCTGATAGCTATTCGATCAGAGAAAATGCATGAATCAGGTTTGAGAAATGCTGCCCTAAATTATTGTTCCACTTGTAGGGAATACAGGAGACAATGCCAAACTCAAAATGGTGTATGTTGAGAACCATAGCAACGTTTTGCCATCTTTTAGGAGTTGATTACAGTTGTCACTCCTTTAAGCACTCAAACTCTAGGTGTACAAAATAGGATTTTAAGCACTCCAAAGCAACCAAATTTATCAGTGTAAATGACCTTTATCTATCTTAAAACCTGTTCTAATTGTTTGTTCTCCAGCGGATGGCTCTTACTTCTAGTGAGCGCACACACACACTCCCTGGTCTTAAAAGCTCCAATCCATACAGCAAGCTCTGGAGCCAAAGAAAAGACCTGTCCACGTTGCTTGGCCAAGAGTCACCTTCCTGGGAGAGACCTCTCTCCGTGCCACCCTTGGAACCCCCAGAGGCACTGCCACCCAGCAGAGAGAGTTCAAATCTCAGTGGAGAGAAGACCGAAGGGGCTTGTATCACAATCCCTCGTCCCCAAGGTCGAAAAACACCTGAACCGGGTGCAGTTCTGGCACCCGCTGTGACCCTGCTGCGCGGGGTTAAACAGGCCAGCGAAAAGGAGGGAGGAGTGTCCGCTGGAGGGCAAGAGTTTCGGCATGCACTGAACATGTCTCCTCACTCCCAATCACAAACTCAGGCGGATTTATTGAAGCCCACTGAGCCGAACGAGGGACAGGACTTGCTCAGCTTGTTGGACCCTCTGTGTGGAGCAATAAAGAATGAGGCCACCCCGTCCCTCACTAAACCCCCTATACCTCCTCGACCCAACCCCCCAAACCTGCCCGCCTTCCCCCCTCCAGTATCACTGAACCCCTTTACCCAACCACCCCAGTACCAGCCACAAAGGCACTATAGTCCTGTTGTCCCAGGT